AGCGCGCCCCTCGCTCTTACGGGCTCCTGATTTTACGGGAGAGGACGGGCGGAGCATGTCAGGGAAAAAGTAAGTTCACAATAATCCTGCAAAATAAAAAAATTACGAGGGTAAGTTGTGGTACGTACTCAAACCTCGGGCAGGGACACTAAAGTACGCTTTAATATCATCGCAAACCCCCCCCCACCGGGCCAACGGCGAGCGCGTGTATGTTGGGTTGAGTGTGCTCTAACCTCAGGCGAGGTAATTGAGGCATATTTCCTGTAGTACCACTTACTCCAATTAGAATAAAGATTTACGAGTTCAGAAGTTGGAAAATTGTAGAGTTCAACCTACTTAAAATTAGTAAGTAAGCGATTATTCCTGCGCTAATTTGAAAAATAATTTCGCTTAATATACTGACTCAAGCGGTTATTGTATGCGGTGGCCTTCCGAGGACGCCTCTGTAGTTCACTGCCATCATCCAGTCTCTACTGGGTCAACGGCCGGCGTGCAGAAAACTGGAAGATTGTGGGTAATTCAAACTGCCTAAAATTTGTAAGTAGGTGGTTATAATGCATAAGGACCCTCCTGTGACCCCAGTAGGTACTCCCACCAAATGAACTATCGGCTCATTTACAAGACTGCGGATTTTTGGGCACACAAAATGAACTCCAGGCCTCACTGAGACAAAGGTTGCACTCAATTTTATTGACCGATGGACTTCTGTCAAACTTTTATCTTGTTGTAGTTTCTTCGACCAGGAACCGTAAACTCCACAATTTATATGAGTTCTAATAGTATTCCCGGTTCTTCTCCCCTTGCCATCTGAATAAATTCACCACTTAGGTCCATTCGCACACGATCATTGTAAGCATTAGTTGAAAATGGTTTGTGCCATTCATCGATAGTAAATGTAATAGGTTTCCCCGGTTTCCGTAATAACTCCCTTCTCAATATCTAGTTCTGTAATCCTTACAGCAATGGTTCTGCCCCTCGGAGACTCGAATCCATTTATTTCCCAACTGCCTTTCCTGACGTCAGGCACAAACCCTTTTCATAACTACGATTAATCAGTTTTCTAAGCCGTGGACAGTTATAAGAGTCAGAACCTAGTGATATTCACTTTCCTTACTTGGCCCGCGCCATTTGGTTGAATTCCATACTATGTATGCTCGGATTTTTTCGCAAAATAAAATTCAGGAAATTTAAGGAAGCATGCTTATCTTGCCGTGCTTTAAGCGTGATCTCCGAATGTATATCACGTGGCAATTTCTGGTATTTTGCTGGCACCAAATTTTGCAACAGCATATCCCCACTTAAATACGTATCACCTTTACTTGCCTTAATGTATAGAGTCCAGTCTGGCTCACCTCGGTTATAATGCCGAAATAGGTATCGTCTAAAATAATTATATGAACTTCCCAAGCGAGCGTGAAAAGGTCTATTCAGAAGGAGTTATTCCGAGTCCGCGCATTAATTCCCTCACAAATTAAACAAGACTGCTCCTGTATTATAAAGGCAAACTGAGCTTACATG